CACAAGAAGCCAGGAGGGAACATGGTCAGGACAGCTGATCCAAAGTGGCCAAAGCAATATTCTATACCATGGAATCCCATGGCCAGTATATAAACTAGAGGGAGTTGGCTGGGAGGGGCCATTTGCTTCTCAGGGACAGACTAAGCATCGATCAGCAGGTGATGAGAAATTTAATTGTGCATCACTCATCTTGGGTTTTAGTCCTGTCTCTCTTTTTATCTTCCTTTTCATTAGCATCATTATTGTAATTATTGTTGTTATTATTGTTACAATTTCTTTTTTATTTCAGTTGTTAAACTGCTTTTATCTCAACCCACAGGTTTTACCTTTTTCTGATTCTCCTTCCTATCCCACTGTGGGAGGAGAGAGGGAAGGGAAGGAGCAAGCAGCTGTGTGGTGCTTAGTTGCCAACTGTGGTTAAACCACAACACCTAGAAGGCCAAGACTGAAAAGTATCTTGCAACCAACAAATCTTTTCGTTTTGATTAAATAAGTAGTGATTTTTTCAGTGATCATTGGATCACTGTATTGTAAATGACCACTCAGTTTTTTCTGAGTGGTGCAAAAATTACAGTTGAGACAGACTGTTTTGATATGGACACCTGTATGTACCTCTTCTGGTAATGGAGGTAAATTTGGTGTTAAACTTTCCTTTAAACAACACAATAAAGCCTTTGGTAGATATTTTGTCTCTAGAAATTTTGCTTTCCAGATGCAATTCCAAAATATCAAAGTTTGTATTCCTACAAAGGTTTTAGATATGGGAGACACTTATTTTTCAAAGCTTAACAACTCTGCTTTTGGTTACTTTATGTTCTCCGTAAAAGACGAAAAGATGGACTTAGTTTATTGTCTGTTCCTTCCCCATTAGTGTGAAATGCCTTCTTTTGCTTCAGCATTTGACAAACATTTCCAGTGGGCCATCTGATTCTCCTAATCAAATCTTTGTTTCCTTATCTGTTTTAACTTATTGGGATGTCTCCAGCTTAAATTTACAAATAAATTGTAAATTAAATGTTTGTGTCAGAAATCACTCTGCAAGAGCCCAAGCTATTTTCATCTAACATTTTCTAGCTGACTATTTGGGTTTTCTAGATTTTTTGCTCTTTCTGATGCTACTGATAACTCCACTGCTTTTTGGAATAGAGTAAATCTCTCCTGTTTATTTTAAGAATGATACTCTTTAAACATATTGCTGATTTCACAAAAAGATCTTTCTTTAGAGTTTGTTTCATAGTACTTTCCAAGGACATGGTATACCTTTACTCTTTTTAATTCTGTAGCACTTGATATCTATTGCAAAACAATGCCACTCATTCTTTTATGAAATTAGAATTGGACAGCAGTGCTTGTCATCAATTTGTAGAGGTCTCCAAAGGTGTTGTGCACATCTTGTGAACTTTTGTTTCATATTTTCCAAGTTACCCAAAGATATCTTACTTTTCTGACCTTTGAAATGGAAGCAAAATGGGAACTGTGACCTTTGTTTCCTTATTTTGTCAGAGATGGCCTCAAATACATAACATTTGAACTTCTAAAATATTCTGCGCCTCTTTTTTCTTTTCATTAGAAACATCACATTGTAATGTGCTGGTACATGTACAAAAGGACACTTTCGAGAAACTAAAGTCCATTTGTATCAAAACGAAATCTAAGCAGTTTCTTTCTAGCATTCATCTTGAATGTTGAGCAAGTGTATTATTCTTCACACCTTTTTTCCCTTACTTAATTCTGGTTCACATCCAAATACAAACAAAACAGGAAAAGAGACACATGAAAAATTTAGAAATCTTCATTTCTTATGTTATAAAAGCCCCACCATTTAATTTTTCAACATAAAAAACTATCCTGTTATATTTATTCATGATTTTGTATACATTTCATTCTTTTACAAGAAGACAGATATAGTGTTTTACTTCCTTTTGTATTTGGGTAGGCAACATCAGGGTGATCACCTTTTCTTACATGACTCTTCATTTTGCTAGAAAATTCCAGTGGGAACTGAGGCAATATTTTCCTCTCAAAGAAACTGTGTCAGCCGCTTCCCACACTATTATTTTTATGTGGCTACTTATTTAATTTCTTCTATGTATTTTATCAAGTGCTAATGCCAGGATTGGCAGCTGAATTTCTTCTGGTCTTCTTTAAAATTAATAAAGGCATTGTATTATTGACCTTCGCATCCTCTATTTTCAAGGCACTATTAGAGCAGAGGTAGTACCTAGAAACAATTGGACTGAAAATTTCAGTCTTTCTGTCTTTTTCCTTCTCTGAATGAGACAACTCTAAAGACAGAGGTGGCGCCGTGATGATATTAACTGAAAAAGTTCGGGGTAATATTTCACCTCAATGCCAAAATAGAATTGTAATGAAAGTGGCTGGAAGGTACAAAGGCCTAAGAGCAAGAAAAGACAAGTAACAGTGGGATGAAGAAAGGAAGTGATTGGTGATGTCTCCTCAACAATTCTGACTAGTGTTCATAGGTTGTTAGAGGTGTAGGAGTTTTTCAAATAAAAATGGTTTATTTGCTATTTGACATCACGTTCAGACAGATTATGGAAATAAATGCAGAGAAAGAAAACTCAGGTTTCTTTAGCAGGCATATCAATCGAGGTTTGCCTTACTGCATTTCAATTTATCTTTTCCAGCACGATACTGTTCTTGGTGATCAAGGGCAATATTCAGTACTCTATGTATCTTAGAACTCTTATTTTTTATTTTTTTCTTTAATCTTTCATTGATTATTTATGAAATTATGCTGTTTCCTTACAGATATTTATGTACTATAACTTCAGCTTAATAATTAACTGTTGTTAAAGGAAACATTTATTTCATTGCTTGGAGTCTACCATGGACACCTTATGGACACCTTGGAGTTAAATATTTTTGTGAATGTTGCTGTTCTGCAGAAGAAATTCAATGTTTGTATTCAAAAGGCTTTGTCTTACCATTTTTCAGATACCTATTCCAAAATATAACTGCTGAGAAAAATTTTACTTAAAGGTGTTTTGAACTGTGCTAAGTTGAAGAGCACCCAGAGATTCTTTGTGAAAGGTACTATTAGGACTGTACTGCAGTGCTGCTATAACTCAGCTGGACTTCTCAATATCCTTTTCAAGTTCCATTTCAGTATGAAATTATCATTTTCTTTATTTTTTTAGCAATATTCAGACATTTCAGGTTGTATTTGAGTAGAGACTTCAAACTGCTATGTGTACTTAAGTAACAAAAACAGGTAAACTGTGCATTTTTGTGACTAATGACGTATATCTGTAGAAGTGCCAAAATAAGCTTTATTTTAAAAGAGACAGAGAACACCACCATGTATCAAGATGTAAGTTTCAATTATCTTTTCATAATTCAAAATTCCCTGAAATCAGTGGGGTTTTATTTTTTTTTTTCAAGCAGTTATCGGGTAAAAATATTTCTGTCATCTATTTTAAAAATAATACTGTCTGCTTAATGTATCCATCTGCGACCTAAAACATAAAAAATTTTATATTTATGTATTTTTGTACAATTTAGATGTGTGTTTGTCCACTTTTTGAATACAATAAGTTACAGACAAACACATCAGGGTGTTTTACCTTTTAATCTTGGCTTCATTTTGGGAGATAAATTTACTTGTTGCAGCTTCTCAGTTGCCATGTGGTTTTCTTTTGGTTTGGTTTTTTTTTGCATCTTGAACTATTTGTAATAGTGTTAATTAAATAAGCATATTTAAAATATAAAAATTATGTCAAAAATAGAATGAAGAAATTCATCTGAAGACCCATTAACTGAGGAAAGAACGTTGTGTCTAATCTGTGATATGTGAAACTCAAGCATAAGAGGGTCTACATGAGAAATATAAAAATAAGGTGTCTTCAGAAATGAATCCCTATTTCTTAATCTGATGGTATATGGAATTCTTACCTTAGTGAATGATCAAAGAGTGAGTGAAAAACTTTGAAGTCTCTTTTGCTATCCAATATAAAGTGTTTCTATTTTCAGCACCTGATTTTCTGTTCCAGCACCAAATACTCTTGCAAATACTTATATCGAACATATAGTTTCACTAGTTATGCCACCCTATGTTTAATCTTTAACTTAAACAATTCCTTTAAAATCTTCATTACCTAGGGTTACCTTCCTCTCTGACTTTCCTGATCTCTTTCAAAAGCTGTTTACCCCGTAGGTTCATCATCTATCCCTCTTAGCCTGCAGTGCTTTGTGGAAGCTTCTACTCCCACCTGCAACAGTCAGCAGGAAATAGTGCTAAAAAGAATTGTGAAACCTCACTCATTTTACATGTATAACCTGAAGAGAAATTCCTATTGCTGAGAAAAAAAAGGTGTTTGTTGCTTTTATTTCAACAATATTCTCTTCTCTGAGATCCCTGTAAAATCTGAATTATTGCAATCTATATAACACTAAAGAAAGTGCATGGGAGTGTGATGGTGGGGTTTAGCTGTGGGTTTCGGGCTGGTGTTGGTGTTGCTGTGAAAAAAGAGAAATTTTTTTTGTTTTCCAGTTTCAGTTCATGTAAGTATCCAAATTAAGGGATAACTGCAATCACACAAGAACTTCTAGATCTCAGCTCTCATATGTGACTACAGATGCTTGGAGTTGTCTGTTTGGGTCTTGATTTACTGTACAAAATCATAGAATGGTAGAATTGCTTAGGTTGAAAAAGACCTTTTAGATCATTGAGTCCAACAATTAACCCAGCACAATGAAGTCCACCACTAAACCATGACCCTAAGCGCCACATCTACACACCTTTTAAATAACTCCAGGAATGGTGACTACCACTTCCCTGGGCAGCCTGTTCCAATGCTCAACAATGTTTTTGGTGAAGAAATTTTCTGTAATACGCAAACTAAACCTTCCCTGTTGCAACTTGAGGCCATTCCTTGTTGTTTAACTCCTTGTTTGATAGGAATTGACCCCCATCTCACTACAACCTTCTTTCACATAGTTGTAGAGCATGATAAGGTACCAACCTTGATCCTCTTTTTCTCCAGGCTAAACAACCTCAGAACCCTCAATCACTCTTTATAAGACTCCAGACCCTTCACCAGCTCCATTGCCCTTCTCTGGACTCACTCCGGCACCTCAATGTCTTTCTTGTAGTGAGAGGTTCAAAACTGAATACTGCATTAAAGGTGGGGCCTCATCAGTGCTGAGTACAAGGGGATTATCACTGCCCTGGTCCTGCTGGCCACACTATTGCTGATACAGGCCAGGATGTCATTGGCCTTCTTGACCACCTCGACACACTGTTGGCTCTTGTTCAGCCAGCTCCAGATCCTTTTCTGCTGGGCTGCTTCCCAGCCACTCTGCCCCCAGCCTGTAGCACTGCATGGGGTTGTTGTAGCCCAAGTCCAGGACCCAGCACTTGGCCTTGGTGGACCTCATACAACCAGCCTAGATCCATGGCTCCAGCCTGTCCAGATCCCTGTGCAGAGCCTTCCCACCCTCCAGCGGATCAATACTCCCACCCAACTAGGTGTCATCTGCAAACTGCCCAAGGAAGTACTTGTCCCCCTCATCCAGGTTGTCAATGAAGATATTAAACTGGATGTGCCTGAATACTGAGCCCTGGGGAACACCACTTGCGAGAGGCCACCAACTGGATTTAACTCTATTCACCACCAATTTCTGAGCCTAGTAATCCAGCCAAATTTTTACCTGACAAATAGTGCACCTGTCCAAGCCATGAGCAGCCACTTTTTCCAGGAAAATGCTATGGGATATGGTATCAAATAATTTACTAAAGTCCAGGTAGACAACACCCTCAGTCTTTCCCTCATCTACTAAGCAGTTCACCTTTCCATAGAAGATCAGGTTGGTCAAGGAGAACTTGCCTTTCATAAACCCATATATCATCTGGAACCATTATTTGCTTTGGAATCTTACTTTTTCCTCAAAATACAATTTATTTTGTACTCAGACAGGATATATATCGAAGCTGTCTTTGACTGCTTCCCTTTGAAATCAGTATCAGTAGGGGTGGTAGAATGAGGACCGTTATTATCTAGATTTCTCTCCATAGCCCGCTGTCTGATTATAGGTAGTAGGAGTAAACATCCACTTAATTACTAAGTATATTGCAGCTAAAGCTGTCTGGTAACTATAGTTATAAATAGATTCTAGCATATAATTTCATTCCTATTCATGACCTCTCTTGTTTGCTTATTGATGAACATTTGGTTGAATTAAATTTATTTGCAAGCATGTTTGTGATAAGTACATGTTGCACACAGGAACTTAAATAAATATTTGCAAGATATGAGACTTCAGAAAAGATCTTTTATGACCGCTTAAGGTTCACCTCTTTCTCCTCAACCAAGTTCTATTTATTTTTATGCTGTAAAATACTGGTGCTGAAGTAATTAAATGTCATTATGTACACATCTTTTAACTTGAAAATGTAGCTGTAAAACTGTCACCATTTCTCCCCTTCTATTGAAGTTCTTCTTTCTCTATCTCCCTTACCCATTCCAAACAACTTTAAGAAATTTTACTTTGAATAACTCATACTTTGAATAACTCAAGCATGTGCTTGCCTTCTGTTTTAAAATCCACAATTTAAAAATTAAGGGTGATGCTGCACAAAAATGTCTTTGAGAAAATCACATGTTATAGATTAACAAACTAAACAGTACAACAAAACAAAAAAAAAAGCTACAATGTGATTACACTCATGATCACCAATGTGTTTTCTCAAGAATCCACGCTCATAAGAATATTGCAACTTTTACACATTTCTAGTTCAATATGAATTCTTTATAGTTTGTCTATGTGGAAAATTTGCTGACATTATTTTTACTGCTATGGTTACATTGATCTAATTCTTTCTGCGGGTGCTTATTTTAGAATAAGTACCATGAGAGTGAGCTATAAATGCAGTGGTATGGTTACAATAGTATTTTTTCCCACATAGATCTTCCTGGTTTAATCTTTGATGCAGAACATAATTTCTATAACCATTTCATAAAGACGCAGATGTTGTGACTTACTAGAATAAAACTAGCACAGGTAGGAAACAAAACCCAAGTGCTAGTTTAATCATCACTGTCTGCATGAACTTAAGGACTACAGCTATATTAGTACATTACATTGCCTGAGAAAATAAGTAGAACAAGTTTATCTATGCAAGTAGGTTGTTAGAGATACTACTTGCATCAGTTTGGCCCATGATAACCACCAATCTTCCAAAACAATTCCCAGCTACATTTCAGCAGTTAAAACGTCTCTTTGGACCTGTTTCTGCCCTTCAACATTATCCACCCTGGCCTTGTGACTCCACATACTATACCTCCATTCACTCATTCATTCTGTTATATTGCTGTACAGTAGCACTGGATGAGCATTTAGGGGATCATTCCATGTATTTCCACCCTTATGAGTGCAGAGCAGCTTTTTATTTTCAAAGCTGAGTGGAGTTGCAGGGGAAGGCAACCTCAGACTCAAGGAAAGCAACTACCTGTGAGGAGATTTTCCACAAGTAGACTGGATGCAGCTTTGGATGGGCAGTTCATACTTGAGTCTTTTCTATCTTTCTGCTTCCTTCCTGTCTCTTCCCTAAGTTCGTGGCATCCCTTGAAGTGTAGGCATGGAAAATTCCCATTTTTATGGTTTCCTTTGCTTGGAATATAAAGTGAGGTATATTGTTGCATTCATTTAAATGGGGGAGGAGATTTGGGTGTTGTGATTTGGTGTATTGGTTAGCAAACTTACACAGTAGAAGTCAACGTGGTAATTGTAAACTGGGGAAAGACAAAGTTTTCCTAAAGCCCTTGTATCACAATGATAGGAAACAAAAAATTGTATAAGAATGCCCATCTGTATCATATAGATACAGGACAATAGTACTTCAGATTCTTAATATAGAGGCACAAGCAAATTCTGACTCAGCATCTACAAGCTGCAAGTAGAGAGTACAGACAGCTCGAAACAGTGGAATCTTGAAACTGTTCAGATGAGTGTCGTGGTGGGTTCCCAGGGCTCATCCAGAAGGTTTGTGTGTGAGAATACAGTGGAGGGAGGTGAAGAACAGGCTAGAACAGCTGGGAGGTGGCTCTGATCTAGCAGACTGAATGTTGTACCTCATCAGATGGCCTGTGTAACAAGCAGATGGTGTGCAATGGAGAGAGAGGGGTGGTTGGAAGTAAATGGTCCATATTATATGATTGAGTCTAGAGGGAATGCTTATTATAGATTTTTGGGTTGGTTAGTTTGTCTGTTTCTTCTGATGGTTTAGGGGGTTTTTTATGTCAAAGGAACTGATGTACAGCAAGAAAATGTGTTGGTGCCATATAGAGAGTGGGAGAGAATCCAATCTATTTTTAAAACTGGCATTGTGGTAGGGATGATGGAATACTGCTGCAATCTTCATAAATGTTTTGATCGAAAAGCCCTGAACTAGATGGGAGCAGTGAAGTCAGGTAAGATGTACATGAGCTAAAGGACACAATCCTGCTGTGACTCTTCCTTTTGAAACAGCTTACCTGTATCATCATGTAGATGTATAAGATGTTTTCACAACACTAAGCATGCTGATGTCCAGCCTGTCCCTCCTAATTTTCTGTTTCAAAATCAGCAGGCCAAACACTTCAATGAGATGCTACAGGACCAGAGGTCCTAATCCAAACACAGGTTTTGTAGTTATAGTTGGATGGCTATAAGTTTCAGGCAGAACCAACCAGAGCATGTGGTGATCCTTCACTGATAGTCTAACAGCAGCCTTCAGGATGCATGACTGGAAGATCCTTTAGTTGCTGTAGGAATTCTGCAGAGGTCTGTGACCGCAGAGAGGGAGGGAAAGAGTAGATCTTTTCAGTGGGTTTAGCAGTGTGCCCATTTTAAAAACCCTTGTGCATCTGAGGTTCTCCAACACCTTCACACTATGTTTGTTTGGCGTTGCTGATACTGTGGACATGCACCAGTCATGGATAGATGATCTGACAGTCTTTGTGCCACCTGACATAATCCTGGCTGCTAGAGACTTTCTGCCCCCCAACTGTTTGCCTGTTGACTGGGAAAAGTCACAGGAGTTTCTTTCATTTTTATGACAGAGATGTAGGATACCTGAAAAGACAAGTTCACACATACTATCAAACTACTATCATAGTTTGCACAGTAATCCTTTCCCATTTAACCATAGCTTTTGCATGCACAAAGGAAAATCCTGATTTTGTGAAGAATACAAATGTTGAAGACAAGAAAAAACTGGAGAACTTTCGAGACAGTGCTAGACTAGGAACAGTCAGTTTAAAGTTTTAGGTAATTAATAAAGTAATACATTGGAGAATACTGCCCTGAAAATTAATGGGCAGTCCAAATGTCGATGAAGCATTCCTTACACAAGGTCATCACAAAGAGTCCATTCCCATTGAGGTGTGTTTTGTGGGTAGACTTTAGAAGCACCTAGTTTGCAACTGATGGAAGCTGAAACTCTGCAGATATACTTTACAAACACTGTGGCTGAACACCTTCTGAGTAAGCATTTTACTTCTATCAAAGTGAAGCCTGATATTAGAGGTGTAGGCCTTTCCCCGTCAGCAATAATTCTGTTTTGATTAATATTTTTAATCAAAATATTATGCTTTGAATACATGTTTTATGTTCTATGTCTACATGCAGCCTTTGTCAGGTGACAATTTAAAATGTTAAATGACATTATCAGGGAAGCACTGGAACTCAAAACTAGAAAGTATTATCTTTTATTTAAAAAATAATTTATTTTGATATCTGGTCTTGTGAAACATTAAAAATTATTGTTTCTAATGCAGTGTATTCCTGGAAATCCATTGTACCTATCAAATATATGAGCACTTTGTTAATGTGACTTTTTTTTTTAAAAAGAACAATTGATGATTTCTACTGAAAAAGAAATTAACTTTGTTGCCTTGCAGCTCCCTCTGTTCTGAGATGTCGTCATTGAAATGTCATTATTCAGAACTGAGAAATATTGTGGAGACCTACTGCCTAAGGCTGTGAGGAAGTAGAATGAAAGCTGTTTAATTGAACCCGCTAACAATAACGTTGACTATTCATGTGAAACAGAGGTGCATAATCAGAGGAACCAGGAGAGAGGTAATATATTAATTCTTGATCCTGGAATGAAGAAGAAGCTTCAGACACAACCATTCTTTTGTTTTTGTTTTTTTGTTTTGTTGTTTGGGGTTTTTTTAGTGTGACATTATTTTTCACTGTATAGAGAAAGTAGGCTAACAGATATGTAGTAGAGCAAAATTCTCTTTGAGATTCCTGCAGAAAAATAAAACCAAAATCACTGTTATTTTTCTTGGAAAATTATAAAGTAACAGGTCTCACTGATGTATAGTATCTTCCATCAATCCTCTAGCCAATGTAGCTGCTCAATACAACCTGTAAATCCTGCAAATATAGGCAGGGTCCATCAAGCATCAAACTGCGTCTAAAGGTTCTTTTTCTAGAGTATGTGGGAGCAATCACACCCGTGAGTACATTGTGATGTGAATAAACTTACACACCTGAATAATGCACGGTCTCAGTCTTGGGTTGCAAAGGAAGTAAAGGCTGAAGTGTCAGGCTCAGCTCCCGCGAACTAAAAAGTATTAAGGTAAACTGAGACTGTGCCAGGAAGTATAGCAACCACTGGATTCTGATTGACCCTTCTCTTTGATGGCACACAGGTGTTTCACATACAGGCATCTTGCCTTTCACTTTGAAAGCTGCCACCTCATGGTGGCTGCTTCTCAGCTTTTTCACCCCTACTTTTCATGGGAAGAAAGTTTTTTGGGAAGGAAGTAAGTGGTATCTGAGGACTGCCTGGTATCTGAGGGCTGCCCAGTATCTGAGGATTGCCCCAGTGCAATGTGATATCCACTGTACAGTACATGACAAAAGTTCTGTGTTTGTTAATTTTACCAGACTAAATTAGCCCTCTATAACCTCCCGTAGACAGTGTCTTTCAAAGTGAAGGGTAGTCAGTAGTCAGCCACCTTGATACACATCATGGACATTAATATCATGGTTGTCATGGCAACAATATGAAACAAAAATGTGTCTGCAGAATGTGCCAAGCCTATACATTTCAAAATTAAAAGGATTTAGTAGAATCCTCAGTAAGTAAAAGGAGAAATACTTCATTCAATCAATTTAATTTTGTAAAATGCAGAATTTATACAAGTCCCAAACACCACATTATAAACCACATATGAACTCGAACAACTCTAGATACCAGTAAAAATTTAATAGTTCAGTGTTATATCATGTAATGGAAATAGGATAAGTTTGTAAGTGGTCCAGAGTTTTCCTCTGAAATATTGCTGCTTTATTGAAAAGTAGATGATTTGTCCATGGTTAAATATTTGAAGCTGATATTCAATGACATGATAGGTGTATAAACAGAGTTTACTGAATCCAAATAAATATCTCAATTGTAAACAATCATGAAATTACAGCTTGGTGTAATTTTTCAAGAAGCTAACATTTTCAATTAAAGGAAAGAATGTCTAAGAGATGAATTCTTCTTTGTTCTTAACCAGCAACCTTGGGAATTTCCAACCAAATCCTTTTGGAAGTGATTACTCTTTACTAATCCATATTATTAAATACAAGAGAATTTTTCTTTCCTTGGTGAAATCTGATCTCCCCATATTAAAGCAATGAGATGTAGTACATACCACACAACTATTTAAGTACTCAAGTGTTTAGTTTACTGTGCTACAGCTATGAGGATCCAGTTGTTGACTCTTATATCTTTTTGTTTGCATAAAATTGATCATATATTTGTTTTCTAACAAAATATTGCAGATGAGTAAAGTAACTCTTCTAACAATATCAATGCTTCACTGAGGATTGACCTTTTTACATTAAGAATCTGAAAACAGGAAAGGAAAAAAATAACTGGAAGGCTTTTGGGTTTATGATAACTGCAGAACAACAGAAAAAAAATTAGAGGAAATATTCACAGCCCAATAGAACAAACTTCAGGGAACCTCTGTAGCTTGTACTGATAAAAGCATGCAGGAGATGTTTAAAAAATTTCTATTGTTTAAATATAAAGCAGGAGAATATCATATGATAAATATACCATATATGATTCAAGGGCAGTTCTTAGCAGTCCTTTTTATGAATGGGGACAGTGTGGGCTCTGAATATTGATTTACTGTATTAAAAAAAAAAGAAAAAAACCTCAACTTACCTCAAAGCAAAACTATGATGCTAGTTGGATACTTGTATGTGTTTTAATGCCAGGTAAGGTATAATGAATACTATATTGGTTTAATTCAGAAGAAAGATAAATGACTATTTCAGAAAGTTATTTATCTCAAAAACAATTGTTCAAATATATATTTTGAAATAATTCCATTGAACAGAAATGTATTTGAAAACAGATAAAGCTACTGCAAAAATATATGTATTTTCTTCAGTCATTAAAAGATCGTGTGTGTATGAATGTGAGAGACTGATCTAGTATTTAAAATGTCACAGGGTGAAGCCTTCCCAAAAGGATATCAGATAAGACGAGGCCTTGACTACCCTATCCAGCTCTATGTCATTAGATGATGTCCATAAATGCTGGGAAAACAAGGAAAGCACAGATAATTATTAACCGGAGATGTGTCACATACCTCTGGATTACATATGGCCTGCTCTCATGGTTTAATCTCAGCCAGCAACCAAGCCCCACTCAGTCACTCACCCACTCCCACACCAGTGGGATCAGGGAGAGAATCAGAAGGAGAAAAGGTAAAAGACGCATGGGTTGAGATAAAGACAGTTTAATAGGGAAAGCAAAAGCCACATAAACAAGCAAAGCAAAAGAAGGAATTAACTCACTTCTTCCTATGGGCAGGGAGGTGTTCAGCCATCCCCAGGAGAGCAGGGCCCCATTACACATAATGTTTACTTGGGAAGACAAACAACATCTCTCCAAACATCCCACCCACTTCTTCCTTTCCCCCCCCACTTTATATACCAAGCATGATGTCATATGGTATGAATATCCCTTTGGTCAGTTGGAATCACCTCTCCCAGCTGTGTCTCCTCCAACTTCCAATGTACCTGCAGTCTCCTCACCAGTGTGGCAGTACGAAAAGCAGAAAAGGTCTTGTTTCTGTGTAAGCCCAACTCAGCAATAATAAAAACATCTCTATATTAGCATCACTGTGTTGAGCACAAATTCAAAACACAGTTCCATACCAGCCACTGTCAAGAAAATCAACTCTATCCCAGCCAAAACCAGTATACCTGCTCAATATTTTAGGTGTGAATGAGAAGGAAACAAAGCATCCCTCTTTCACATATTCTGCAACAGAAGTGATCCAGGAAACTGCTAACTGGCTCTAGACATAGTGAAATTTCAAATTTCATGAAGGTGAGGTAATGTCCTATACCACACCCCAGCCCCTGCGAGCCTCATGATGCCAACGCCAGAGCAGCTGTAAGCCAAAGGCAGCTTCTTCCTTAATATCTTGGGTAGCTTGGAACAGATGGGTTGGATTTTGCCAGGCTGTATGTGTTAGGATGTGCTAAATCAATGCTTTGTGGAATGCTTTATTTTGGCTGTATGTTGCCGTTTAAACTTTTGTCAAGTTCCCTTATTTTTGAAAGTTTACCAGTAAAAGTAGCCCCTGAGAAACTATGTGCAGCATATTCTCCTATACACTCTCTCTTAAAGTGCTAACAGAATTGAGGCTTTTTCTAATAATCTGGAGGATAGATATTGTTGGAGCCTTCTACATTTTTAAAGTAAAACCCCTTTGGTGGGTTTGTAGCTCAAGACCTGGGGCCTTACAATGTGTCCCCAAGCATCTGAAGCCGTGCAGGAGGCTAAGCCCGAGGTGGAAGAGCCGTACAAAGAGGCCAGTCCGCCTGCTAATTCTGAAACATGTCAGCTAGCTTCAAGGAATGTCCTCCACCACGACATCCATGTTACTGGTCACAACTGGGCCATAGACCTTAAATGGTGTGCACGTGTTCTGTACCGTGTGTGCGTATGTTTGTGCATGTGTGTATGTGTGAAGTTGTTATTCACTCACTATACCTGTCCCACTTAGTAAATAAAGCTTGGATTTTTTGTTACTGAGAGCTGTGGTTTTGTTTATGCACCTACCTCACCCTGCGTTTCACCACTGTATAAAGTTTCCAAGTACATCGTAAAGCCACAGTACATCAGAGAATCATGGGAATATGCTGTCCTCCCTTAAACTATGATTCGAGTTTCACCACAGCCAAGAAAAGAAACAGAAGTATTTTGTATAAAATTGTGGCAGAAATTGATGATGGAATATTGGTGTTTCTTCAAGGTTAGTTAGAATTTTTAGTCCTTAAGACATGAGGTTTTATTTTATGTACTTACATTTTCAACAATCCTCTTTTTTTTTGCAGGTGTTACTTGAAAAATTTGGTTGAGAAAAAAAAATTGCAAAATGTATTTTGCTGGTGTGTTCTGAAGCCCCATATGTCATGATCAATCTCTTTTTTCTGCAGATATCTGATACGTTTCATACCTGTATTGTATCTGTTAATTTAAAACATTTTCAAAGTAGACATTGAAAGAGAGAACATTTGCTTTACAATGTTGTAATTAAGTGTCAGTCTCATGAGTTTTATTGAATTGTCTGAAACCATAAACCCTTCATTACTTCTACTATCAGTGTTGCTAATAACATTATGAACCTAAACCTTCTTATCCTGTTTCTGTTTGCTGATATGTTCCATAATTACTGTTGATTCTCTTAATAATAGCATACCCTAACTATTAAGACAAAAGAAATTGACAATGGCAATGTATTTAATCTATATGAAACAGGGAATAAGAAAGAAAAAAGAATAGAAAGGTAGATAAATTCTCTCATCTATGTAATCTTTTCAGTGTCAAATCAGAAAAAGATCTCTAGGTTAAAAATACATGAGGGTAAGCAACAGAGCAATAAGCATGAAATACGACCCATAGGGATCTCGCAATATCTGCGAGATTAAAGTATTATAATCAGAGCTACAATTCTGTCTTACAGCCTGCATTTCTAGCTCTCTTCTGCCACAATCTTTGAACCAGTAGGAATAGGTAAAGGAGATCTTTTTCGACTTTAAAAACTCACAAACAAACAAACAAACAAACAAAACCCTGAAAAGTTCTCTCTACTGGAGCCTTCATAGTCTGCCTGGAAAATTTTATCTACAAACAGTGCTTCTTGCTTGAAGATTCCCCTTTCAAAAACAAATGGATAATTGTCTAGTTTGTGTTGTGTGTTTTTCTTGAGCCTTTTATTGTTTCCCATACTTTAATTCCCTGTTGTATAACTCAGTCAATATGTGTTATTCTAATAGCATTGGGGATATATTTAGGATTAAAATTTGTTGAACTGTTTATTGTCTAATAATCTGAGAAATAAACTGAGATGTGTGGGGTGTTAATTTGTTTTTTCTCTTTGGAAGTTCTGCAGTGTGTTAAAAAGGATTTAACTTGATATTCAGAAATGTTTTGAAAAAACATCTGGCATCAGATCTGCAATGAAAAACTCCATGGAATGTCAGAAGCTGCATGTCTAGAGAAGCCCTGGGTATCAATAAGAGAGTACTAAAAATTCAATTAATGAAATATTACTCAGGTAAGTGGGTTTGTGTGAATCCAAAGAGGTATAGGATATGTACATAAAGAAATAGCAAGTTGCCGTGAGGAATATTTTGCTCCTAAAGTATGCACACTGGGACCTATTCCTGCATAATACCATCAGTTGCAATTCTGAATTTCACTGTCATAGCAAGGTCGTGTAGCACTAGAAATTTTGCCTTTTAAGCATCAGGTCATGACTAAAATTCTCATCTTGCAGTGATGTAGAAAATCTTTTATTACAAGACATTGTATTAGTAATTAGTAGCATCCTTAGACTGGGGTCTGCAGGGACAACAGTGCTGGGAATAGAAGAAAGGAACATGAGAGCTTTAACCAATTTTTAGTATAGTCTTAACAGTTGCATTTATTGTTTTCCACCAGGAGGTGCTTGGTTCTTTTTGAATCCCAACAAGAAAGCCACAAATCAATAGTCCAGAAAAGATGATAGTAAGTTAGAGAAGTATTACATCCCTGATGATGAAAACCTGGAATGATATAGTATCAGGCCTCTCAGGTCAGGGAATGGCACTCTGCACAAAATACCAATTTGTGGTGAGGTTTGCTGCTATTGCTATTTTTAGAGGTTTTTAGGATTTTCTTCAAGAAGTTGTATTTATGAAAACGTTCCTATTTTTCAGGATAAAGACAAGGACATGCCAGTAGCATCATCACTGATGCCAGTTGGGAACCAGCTATAGAATCTTCCATTGTGAAATCTTGACTTTTTTTTCTTTAACCCCATCACCAGAAGGAAAAGAAATCAATTCTTCACATAGCATCAGTGATACATTTGATCAGTTGAAATTGTTCCAGACTACAAAAAATTGCTGCAACCAGAAAAGGTGTATTAAATACATTTACGTAGAAGAAAATATGATTATTGTAAGACAGGTGAAAAAGGGAAAGGGAAAAAAAAGAGAGGTTCGGAGAGGTTCGGAGAGGTTCGGAGAGGTTCAGAGAGGCTCGGAGAGGAGAGGAGAGGAGAGGAGAGGATGAACTTTTCCTTCATCAAAGTGTATGCGTAGAACTGCACAGTCCTTGAGGCCAAGTAATACATGCAGTACTGCACAGCACGGAGTTGCAGCCACTCAGGCCAAATGTTGGTGGAGCATTGACTCTTCAATATACAATAGTCTCTCTATCAGGGCCACTATATTTATTAAGAATACTTGAGCAATATTTGGTGGCTATCTTACCTTTGCCTAACAGGAACTCTGCTAGCAAGCTGGTAGCCCCAAAAGCACCACTAAAACTTCATCAGCCTTAGCTTGCATTCTGTGAAAGGTATTCCAAAGGACTTGAGTCCAACTATTTTGCCTGAGATACTGCAGTAGAGTATAAAAAGATTCTAATAGTCACATGCCCATAGTGATACTACTGGTGAGTTTTGAAAGCTTACATGATTAATTACAAAAAATAACTCCTCTACTGCCTGCTGCATGGTATGATAACCTACCATGAACAGATCTGAAGGTTGGTGTGGTGGGTTGATCCTGACTGGAGGTCAGGTGCCCAGCAACACTGCTCTATTGCTTCCTTCCTCAGATGGATGGGGGAGAGAAAATATAACAAAAAGCTTGTGGGTTGAGACAAGGGCAAGGAGAGATCACTCACCAATTACCATCACAGACAAAACAGTTTTGACTTTGAGAAATTATTACTGATCAAATCAGAGTAATAAGAAATAATTTCTCGGGATAAGGAGAAACAAAACTAAATCTTAAAACTCCTTCCACCCACCTCTCCCTTCTTCCTGGACTCAACTTCACTTCCCATTTTCTCTACCTTCTGCCCCCACAGTGATGCAGGGGGTCAGGGAATGGGGGCTGCATGTTGTCTCTGCTGCTCCTGCTTCCTCACGCTCTTCCCCTACTCCAGCATGGGGTCCCTCCCAGACATCTCCAACATGAGTCCTCTGCACAGGCTACAATTCTTCCCTTCACTTCCAGGGGTGCATTCCTTCAGAAACAAGCTGCTCCAGTGTGGGTTCTCTATGGGGTCACAGGTTGCACCAGAAGCTTGCTCCAGCACAGACTCCTCACAGGGTCACAGACTCCTTTTGGCATCCACCTGCTCCAGCCTTAGCTCCAGGTGGATCTCTGCTTCACCTCAAGCTACAGGACGAGTGCCTCACCATGTTCTTCCCCATGGGCTGTAGGGGAATCTCTATTCTCACACCTGGAGTACCTTATCCCCCTTCATCTTCACTGACCTTGGTGAATGCAGACTTCTTTCTCCCACATATTCCCATTCCTCTCTCTAGCTGCAATTGCTGCTGCACAGCTTTTTCCCCATCTTAAATATGTATCCCAGTTTATGCTACTACCACTACTGATGGGCTCAACTTTGGCCAACAGCAGATACATCTTGGAACCAGCTGGCATTGGCTCTGTCGGACATGGGGGAACCTTCTGGTAACTTCTCACAGAAGCCACTACGGCACTTTCCCCCCACCCAAACCCAACACACTCGGCAAAGAACATTTTGAAATGCATCTTTCACAAACTTTTCTTTTTGAAGATTTTTAGAGAAAATGTGTGCTGAAATTAGAATAATGAAACAATTCAGTCTGAAGTGTTAAGACATTCACTAAGATTGGACTCTTAAAAGTTCAATTTGCAAGATTGGCAGTCTCCTAATTATTTTTTAATTTGGTGATGGTGTTTCAATGGAATGGACCTCTAACTTCCATCTGTGTTGCACACAAGTGGATTTTCAACTTTGAAAGTTCAACTTGGCCCTTAAAATCATTCTTAAATGTAGTGACCTGTTTTTTACATATTATTACTTACAGAAAAGTACAGTAAAGCCTTTGTTGTGTGGTAGTGAATAGGGATATACTGAACTTAAATTGTTTCGCCCCCACTGTATACTAGTGTCTGAGGTTATTCCTGTCCACGTGCAAGACTTGGTATTTCCCTGTAACATTGAACTTCATAAGATTCCTCTCTGTATATTTCTACAACCTGTCAAGGTCCCTTTGAATCACATCAACTCTCTTCTGTATCAGTCACTCCTCTCAGTTTTGTATAACTTGCAAACTTGCTCAGTGTACACTCTACCCCATCCTCTAGGTCATTAACAAAAATTTTAAGAGGTATTGCACTCTGAGTCAGCTCCTGGAGTACATCAATACTGACTGGCCTTCAGCTGGAGTCCAGCAGTTCAACCAGTTTTCAATTCATTTACTGTTCATTCACCTGTCTCAGAGGATGCTACAGGAGATCACTGAAAGCTTTTCTGTAACAGGACAACAACAAGTACTACCCTCCCCTCAACCACCAAGTCAGTCATTTAAGATTGATTAAGCACAATTTCATTATGATAAATCCATATTGCTAATTTCTGATCACATTCTCATTCCTCATGTGTTTGGAAAGAGTCTCCAGAAAGATGTGCTTTATCACATTCCTGAAGATCCACAAGAGGGCTGACAAGGCCTCATCCTTCTTCTTGCACTTCCTGACAATAATTTTGATGTTTCTTTCCTTCCAAACTGTTGGAACCTTTCCCTGCAAACTGGAACCTCTCCCCAGCACTGCAAATTGTGAGTGATACATGCAATCTTCATTGTTTTTCATCTTCAGTTTTCCTGTTGGGTGCAAAAGTAGTTCAATAACATTGACTAAATTTCACTCATATTGATTACGGCCTCTCAGTTCCTTTCAATTACACCTTTCCCCTACCTTTCCTATGCACATTTGCAAAACACAACCCGGAAATTTCTATTTCCCAATCACCATCTGCAAGACAGGTTTTGTGTACCTAGGTAGCAATCCCATAACAAAGCAAACGTAGCATAAAGGGTTTCAAAGTGCTAGAGAGGCTCCAGTTGTCCACTACAGGCATCAAAAGGGCCCTCCTAGAGAGAAAAAACTTCCTTGTAGCAACATGACTTTTCCACTGTGATACAACTCAGTCTGCTTTTTATTTACTTTACACAATCCTGAACAAGTGGTTTGATAGGTAGTCTCATTCTTCTAGTTTCAACAAAACTGATCACTTCTCAGTGTGAAGTCTGCTTCCTGATATTCAATATTTATCTACATATATCCTCTGGCTTTAATATCTTTTTAATAATAATTACATTGAACTCTGATTTTAATATGCTAGAAAGTATTAGGAGTTTTAGATTCAGTGCTAGTTGTGTATGTGTGGATACAAAGACATTGCAAATATTTAGATATAGGAATGGAACCTATACTTTCCAGGTCTTTGAAAAAAGCCCTTACTACAGAGGTCTCCAACAGTATCCCGACCAGTGTTCACAGGAACAGAGGCAGTACATAAGGGAAGAGATAAGGTCTATCTGCCTAGCACTAGTGACCCCACACTTAGGTACTGTAGTCTCGCTTCCTCCCCCTCCAGCCATGCATTGCAGAAAGGACATAATTTACATAGAATGAGTGCAGCAAACGTCACTGTTGTTGCAGGGTCCTGGAGCACCCAACTTTTGAGGAGAGGCTGAGGGACCAGATCTGGAGAAGAGTTCAGGGAAACCTAATGGCAGCCTGCAGAAGCCTACAAATGGTAATCGAGAAGATGGATTGTGGCTCTTCACAACGGTAAATGGTGGGAGGACAAGAAACTAGAAATGTGAGTTGAGACTAGAGAAAAGTTTCACACTGGATAGAAGGAAAAATTTTTTCACTCAGAGAATAGTCAAGCACAAGAGCAGAGCGTAAATTATTCCCAAAGTTGAAATTGCATTGTTTCACATAATGAAGACAGCTTGCAACTGAAGTTCTTCATCTTCACCAAAAATCTGTGCTGTTGTCTGGTTATATTTTTATTTTTATTTTTAAACTGTTACACAATGGTCACTATTTACCTTTTCTGCCATGTAGGCTAAGAATAATTTGCTATTTGTCTGTTTTAAAGAGATTTTTTTTTCCAAAATTAAAAACACTTTCTCCAGTTCGGATTTCATCAGGCCCAAAGCGGAGGAAGGATTTTGTACCTGCTTTAATATTCCAAATTTTCTGTCCTGAGTGACTCTGGAGCTTGTGATTTCTGACTAAGTATGGAACCTTACATTTGTCCCTACATAGTTTCATCTGCTTTTTTGGAACAGTTCTGCAGCTTTTCCGGTCCTGCCTTCCTGAATTCTATTTCTCTTCTTGATGAAGGGGATGATATGTTGAGCTGTACCAACCTGGCTGGTTTTAAGCAAAAAAGTAGTTTCGGGGTATTAGATTTAATAGAACAGATATATTGTAAGTCTACTCTCTTGTTTCATGTTTTATAGCCTGATTTAAGCACCAATAAATGAGCCAATAGCTATGAACTCATTCATAGAGTAGTCCCAGTTTACTTTTAATGTTTGTAATTTTTGAATATTTTCTAGGTAATACAAAAAACTCTTTTGCACACAAACATCTGTTAAAATTGGTTTTGTCTTTTGGAAATTTTCAGATTTGGGGCTTTTAAAAGTTGGCAGATTTTTATTTCTGATTTATATTTAGGTAACAGAAAAAAGTTAAAAGGAATATAAGGGCATCTTGATAAGTAATGATCTTGGTCTGGTTCTTATGCTGATAATTTTCCGGTATAGCAAGCAATATGTGTGTAACAGTACTCACACACAAAACTGACTTATGGTTTTTACCTTGTTACAGAATCATAGAATCACAGAATATGCTGAGTTTGAAGGGACCCACAAGGATCATCAAGTCCAACTCCTGATGCGGTACAGGACTATCCCCAAGAGTCATGCCATGTGCACCAGAGTATCATCCCAATTCTTCTTGAACTCTCTCAAGCTTAGTGCTGTGACCACTTCCCTGGGGAACCTGCTCCAGTGTCCAACCACCCTCTGGGTGAAGAACCTTTTTCTAATATCTAACATAAACCTTCCTTGACACAACTTTAGGCCATTCCCTTGGGTCCTGTTGCTGGTCATCACAGAGAAGAGATCAGTGCCTACCCCTCTTCTTCCTCTCACAAGGAAGTTGTACACTGCAATGAGGTCTCCCCTCAGTCTCCTCTTTTCCAGGCTGAACAGACCAGGTGACCTCAGTCACTCCTCATACAGCTTCCCCTCCAGGCCCTTCACCATCTTCATTGCCCTCCTTTGCATGACCTCTAAGAGCTTAATGTCTTTCCTATACTGTGGTGCCCAAAACTGCACACAATATTCCAGGTCAGGCCACATCAGTGGAGAGCAGAGCAGGACAATCCCCTCCCTTGATCAACTGGGGATGCTTTGCCTGATGCCCCCCAATCAGAGTTGGCCCTTCTGACTGCCAGGGCACTGCTGACTCATATTCAACTTGCTGTTGACCAGGACCCCCAGGTCCCTTTCCGTGGCACTGCTTTCCAGCATCTCATTCCCCAGTCTGTCCATACATGTAAGGGTTGCCCCATTCCAGGTGCAGAATCTGGCACTTCCCCTTGTTGAACTTCATATGGTTGGTAAAGTCCTCTGATTTGCCAAGGTCTGTCTGCAGGGCCTCCCTACTTTCAAGGGAGACAACAGCTCCTCTCAGTTTTGAATCATCTGGAAACTTTCTTAGTATCCCTTCCAGTCCTACGTCCAAGTCATTTATGAAGATGTTGAAGAGCACAAGGCCTAAGACGGAGCCCTGTGGAACCCCACTAATGACAGCTCACCAGTCTGATGTTCCCCCATTCACTACTGTCCTCCGTGCTCAACCCATGAGACACTTACTCAAACACCACATGATGTGTTTATCCAGTTGTGTGCTGGACAGTTTGTCCAGAAGAATCCTGTGAGAAACAGTATCAAAAGCTTTACTGAAATCCAAAAAGATTATATCAACTGGCTTCCCTTGATCAACTAGGTGGGTTACCATGTCATGAGAAGAAATCAGGTTTGATAAGCAGGATTTCTTCTCATGAGGCTGTGCTGGCTGTGACAGATGACTGCGTTGTCTTTCAAGTGTTTTTCAATACCTCCCAAAATAATCTTCCCCATAACTTTACCAGGCGCTGAAGTGAGACTGTCAGGCCTGTAGTTGCCAGGGTCCTCCTTCTTGCCCTTCTTGAAAACTGGGACAACATTCACCAGCTTCCAGTCAGCTGGGACCCCTGTGGAGTCCCAAGACTGCTCAAAAATCATCAAAAGAGGTTTCGCAATTACACTAACCAGCTCTTTGAGGATTCTGGAATGAATCCATCAGACCCCATAGACTTGTAGGGATCCAGCTGGAACAACAGATCCCACAAAGCTTCAGGGTCTCACAGTCTACCTTATAAATACTTCGCATTTTATTGTTTAATGGACTGATATCTTTTCTTTATATATAACTTTGGTATATTAACTTGTTAAAAGCACTCATTCTCTGTAGCATAAAATATTTCTGAGACATTCATTTAGGAAGCATAAAGGCAATACAATCGTTGAACTCTTTTGCTTTACCTATGGATGTTTTAGAAATGCTGATGTATAAATTCTAGTATTTGCCTTTCTTCAAGAGCCATGGTGAATATTCAGTCTCCAAACCCTGAGAACTTCCTAAAGCAACATTATTTCTGTTATCGTTGAGCTTCTGTCACATCTACTGAAAAGATTAATTGTGGTTACTACTTTTCAGGGAAATTACACACGTGAGAATCTACTTCATTCCTTGTGCTGTTTTCTTACAAACATTTGTGAATTTGAGTGGTGAATTGAGTACAGCTGCATCAAAACTAGAGTGAAGAAATTGGATTTCTGAAAGGCACAGTTGTACAGAGATACATGGTAACTTTTCACCTGAAGGAAATGGACTAAATGAGAAATATTTACTTGGGAACTTTACCAATTCCAGATGAATAAAGGATATTTACCATAAACAGAAATAAATCAATGGTTGAAACTAAAGAAAGAAAAATACTGAATGAGTGTATTAGTTATTTTAAGTAAGGTAATTTTTTACATAATCTTGCAACCACATCTTGTTTGGCAAAGTTTGTGTCTATTGTATGTTTTTAGTCACTTGGGGGTGCATAGTCTGTTCTTTTGAGCAAACATAAAAACAGAATGGTGGGTACTGTATGCAGCAACCTAGCCTTCTTTCTTGTGTGGAGGTAGTGGTCATCATCTAGGAAATCATCTGTACTGTGACCTTTTCAGAGTGCAAGCCTTTTCATCTTACCATAAGCAACATCTTCCTCAGTGCATGGGGAAGGGTGCCCTTTCCTTCCTAGTGCAGACTACCTTTTAAAACCTTTTTGTACCTTTCCTTCTGATGCTTATGCATGTGTTTCAGTCATTCTACATCCATACAAACCTTGCTGTTTCTGTTACAAATTTGTGGAATTTAAGTGTACAAATATTAACATTATCTCAGGACTTGCTGCCATAAAGCTTCAGAAGAAACTAGAGTTCTGTGTCTGCACTTTCAATTATTGGTATTTGATGGTTGTTGTTAGCCCATCCTAATGGCTCATTAAATTCTATGTTTGAATAATGACATGCAAGAAGAACACCATAAAGAGTGGGTATTTTTGTGAAGAACAAGAGATCTCTTCAGGTTTAGGTTTCAGTTAGAACTTCCTTGAGGCTTCTCAGTGCTTATGGGTGCTCTGTGCCAATGGAGTAGATTATCAATGCTCTAGAGATTAGCAAATGTTCTAAATGCAGCAACTTATGTGGGACTTAAATAATCAAGCTTCAATATGATATTTTGCCAGGGAAATCTAAGAAAAGAAACAAAACAAGTTGTTTTAACAGGTTTTTGAAGCATTGAAACCAGGATTATTTTCTACATTCTATATTTAACAGATTGTAATAGAATGTATGTCTTAAGAAATATTCATCATTAATAAGTTGTCATGGTGTCTGAGCTGGCTAATAGACAACCTACAATACAAATTTACCTCAGATTTTACATCAAATTAAACAAAGAGGAGCTCTTTTTTGACTGTAAATTTTGATCAAAACCATAATTCAATAAACCATGGTTATACAGGTCTTGAGAATCCTTTCAAAATTCTGTCCTGATGTGACTATTCACTGCTGCATTCAATTATTGAAAATTTAGCGTGTTGTGTTGCTGTCGGAATCCTGTGAGTTTCTCTTTAGAGCAAGAAACTGACGTGCTGTTGGCTTCCACACAGACTCTCAGTGCTGGTCACCTTTCAGGATTCGATGTAAAAGACATACTATTATTCAGGGCTGTTAAAATTTGGACACGTTTGGCTGAGATTGTAAGAAATGTTTGAGACCTTGGTTAGAAGCATTGCAGTCTGGAGAAAGGTACTTGTAAGCAAGCAGGCACTGCTTTTGCCACAGGGAATCAAACAGAGAGATAGGGTGGTTTTAGTTAGACTTAGGGCTGCCGTAAGGACTTCGGGCAGTCAATAAATATAACTTGGCAGGAAGTGATTTGACAAAGAGTTAGGAATTGTAGCACTGAATGTTAAACCTGGTACTGCAGGACCAGTTTTTCATGGAATGTAGCTTCAAGGGGAACTTGAGAAGTATTAGAATGAGCTTCTGAAAAGCAGATGACCTTACAGTAAAATTAGTGAGCTACATTGATCTAGGGAAGAATCAGTAGTTAATCAGGAGTGCAACAGACTTTTGATTACCATGTCAAATACAGATGAGAATTGCTTGGATTTTGTTTTTGCAATAGAAGACCAGGAGGCTCCAGTTAGGTGCCCTCAGTGCAGGAACTCTTTGAGGCAAAGAAGAGATTGGTAGGCTTTTGAGTGTGCATGAGATGCCAGTTCCCATCTCACCCTCTACTGGCAGCAATACCCTTTGTATTCACATGCAATCCTCCTCTATACACCTTAATTTTTTTCTCTTCTCCTCAAATTCTTCAGTCTTGCTCATTTGTAAAAAAATTGGCCTGCTCTTTCAAAAAGTAAATGAACAAACTACTATCATTCTATCCCTCTGCATTTGTAGCCGGAATAGCAGTCCAGATTAGCACTTTTTTGAATAAACTCCATACAATTATACAATTCTAGTAATACTAAATCCAGAAATACTTGTTTTCCCTCACAGTTTGTTTTGGTTGTTTGGGTTGTTTTTTTTGGGTTTTTGGGGTTTTTTTTCTGGTATGGTTGTACATTTAATGTAAGTAGCAGTAATAGGATTTTAACCTACTGTTGTGATAAGCTAAATGACAACATTATCAAATTTGAAATGTGATTAAATCTTGAAATCTCTTCTAAAAATATTAACCAGGGTGTTATGACTGTGTGCTGAGTTAAAAATAAATAACCCATAAATCTATCCTGAGCTGAATAATATTGTTCTCTATATTACAGCTACCAAAAAACTCTGCTAAGATTAGGAATTTGCAGCCTTTCATAAACTATTTTTGGAAGCTTTTTTTTTGCTTAACCAGATGAACAGTACTTTCTAACATTTTGACCATTCAATACAGCAGGTATCCACCTGCTGTATCACTTGGATGTGATCTGGAATTTACCTTGTAATTTGCTTAATTTCTACATTACAGATAGTGATCACGCAGTCATCAACATGGTCTTACAGAATTGATTTTATAGACTGGAATGAGTTAAAGATATTATGTTATCTTTTCCTGATCAATAAGTCCCTGATAACTAAGTTATCTGTGAATATCTTATATCTGCTCTCTCTGATGTAAAATGCGTGATCTTACTTTTCTTTCATTAAGTTTCAGTGCAATTGTGTAACTGCCCACAAAGGGCAGGATAATATGACATATATGGATCCTTACCAACATCACAGCTAACATCCACAATTTTGTGAAGACCCTTTGACCTAGACATGCCTAAGTGCATATCTGAAATTTCCGACTGCTCAAAAATATACTTAATTGGCTTAATCAGACAAAAGTGTAATGCAAATTATTTCCCAACTTAAACCTATTCCAAAATATCCTTACTTTGGTTTTAAACTAAAACTTTAAAAATTGAATGTAATTTTTCAACAATCTTAAACCAAACATTTGCAAGAGTTTATTTTTAGAATATTAATGTTTTGATATTAGAGTGGTAATAGCAAGAGAAGAGATTATTAAAACTAAAAACTATGATTTGAAAAAAGTAAGGTTAAGAATATGGAGGGGGGTAAGTAATATTTTTTGAGATTTGTTATAATTTTTATATTTACTATTTCTTATATTTTGTTTTACTGTACTTTATAACACTGAGGCCTTCTCTGTTTTTCACTCTATTCCTCCA